GCTGTTCTTGAGATACAGCACCCATGGATTTGTATGTAAAGCACAATAGGAAGTCAAAGTATTGTTTCAATGAAAAAAAAATATATATTTTATTGGTAACAAAACTAACAAATACAAAAATAACCAAACCAACACATGCAAAGGCTGAACGTGCAAGCAGCTGTCTTAGGATTTCTTGGTACCTTTCACAACTAGGCAGAACAGAAAAGCTTCTTCCACTCCTACAGTTGTCTTGAAAATAAATATAATTTTAGGTCAGTAGCTATTGATAGCTGATATCTTATTCCCAAAACACTTTATTTCATGTATTAATACTTATTTACTGTTGTAGACACTAAATAATTGTGAATTCTACACTAAGGACAAATAGTACAAGAAAATAAACAGTATTTATGTTCATATGAAATCTGCATGGCAAAGATGAAAAGTGTTTAATATTTTTTCTTTCCCAAGCCTACTAACATCCTAGACACGTGAGTTACAAACTAAGTAGTGTTTACAGTGCTGAACTATCTTATCTTTAATTTTAAGTTTTTAGTTTAGAGATTGTACATCCTTTACTTGGATACAGTTAGCTGATCAATCTTGTGTGTAGGATGCTTACTTTTTGCGTTCATGGTGTAGAGCACTTTCAAAATTAAGATATATTAGTGACTAGCACAGTTGGATGACAGAAAGGACAACAAAGGAAGTTAATAAATTGATAATGAAGTGGGATTATAGAGGATTGAGCATGGATATTAGAACTATTCCAGACTTACTTCTTAATCACTACTACTCTGCTTTGATTCTGTCTATTGGCTTTCTAATGGCACCACCCTGAAATGTATTGTTGAGTTTTTGGAAAAAGACCACTCGACTTGTCACTTATTGGCAAGCATGTCTGCATCCTTGAAAGAGGCCAGTGGGTTAAATGGATGACAGAGACAAGATTCTTCTGTTAGCCATGTGGTTGGTCCCTCTGGAAGACACTTAAAATAAGTTGACAAAAATATTTTGAAGCTTGCAGTACCCTGCCTGATCTATGTACAAAGATTTTGTTTTCTGGGCTTGTCATTCCATCAGCAAACTCCTACGAAATCAAGCAATCAGTGATGGATTTAACACCGAATTGAATATAGAAACTAACATATCATGATTCTGACTAACAAATAAAATCATGTAAGATAAAGTAATTTCAACTACAGACAAAGAAGTGCTTGGGAACAGAGTCGGCTCTTAATCTCACTGACTGTTTTTGAGAAGGAATCCTAGCCTGTATCTCTCAGTCATGTCAACCAAGCACGTTCTTGCCAGAAGAGTGAACTGTAACGTGTGCTGCACACAGCTCCTGGGCACTTCCCAGAGCTTCGTTCTCCCCATACGCTGTGCTTGACGACTGGACAGAAGGCTGTGTTGAGCTGAATTTTATTGTTCTGTTGCTCTCCATCTATTTGCAGTGCACATAATCAGGAATTCAATATGTCCCAGGAAACTTGTTTAACCTAATGAGAGCAAATGGCAATGGGTGTTCCTTACTTGGGACAACAGTGCCAACGTTTCTGCGGAATTGAGATGCATTTGGCTGGTTCCGGTGCTTCAAGTGGTTTTTAAACAGGTGTGTAATGGGTGCTGAATTCTGGAGCCTGCCTTTTTAATATGGAAGTTGCCAAATAAAGATCAACAGAAATAAAGATATCTATTGCAGGATAAATATTTTTCTTTGTATATTTATTCAGCATAATCTTTACCTTAAGTTGAGTCACAGGTGAATGGAGAGGTGTTCCTTCTCATAATTGAGAAAGTCCATTACAGAAAACAACAGGATGTCTAACAAGGTGTCCTAATTAAAATTACCCTGTAATTTGAGCAGAACATTCATTTATATGTAGCTAAGGTTGACCTAAAACCTATCCAAATCAGGAAGATGATTATACACTTTTTCCCATTGAAAATAGAACTTAGCATTCTGACACTAAACAGCACAATTCTGTTACTGTATTCAAGAGTAAGGGCTTTCTCTTCAGGGTTTTGTTGTTGTTGTTGTTTTTTTTTTTTAAAATCTTTTTACGAAAATTTAAAAATGAGTTTCTCTCCTACCTCCTCACTTTGATAGCATTCACGTGTGGTTGCATTTCTGCAGTGTTTTGAAAGCAGTCCCGGTATTGCTGTGTGCGTGCTGCGAGCCAATCTGAAACCTTTGGTCGTGGTTAGTGTGCTGGTGAACTAATGAGCAACCGAGATAGCAGCTGCTTAGCAGGACTGATTGGCTCGGGCTCGACTTCACTATCTGCGACTACGCAGTTTGTGACTGGCTTGGTTTGCAAGCTGAGTAATTTTGTTATCTAGGGGAGTGTGGGCCTGCATGCATAATCTGCGCTGTATACACGACTGGATAGATTTTAGTTACGTGTATAAAAATGACCTATTCATGCTCTAGCTATCATGCTTTAAAATACTGACGAGGCGAATTGTATTTAATATAATTTATCAAATCAAAGTGAATGCTTGAAAGAATTTGCTAGCTTCAGAAATATTGTTTGTATTTAGAAGGGAATTCTCAGCATCTTTAACTTGACAGAATTGTACAAGCTGCAACTTGTTGCTACCCAGGCACAAGCTGGTGGAATTCTTTGTGCTGTTCTTCTGTTTCTCCCCATTTTCTACGCAGGCTGGGAAGGGGGAGGATTTTCAAAAACATTTGGCATGGGTCTGAACATTCTGCTGATAGATTCTACTAGAACCATTTCCCCATAATTCTAGTGAAAAGAAAATAATGCTATTGCTCCTTTTTGATAATCCCACCCGTGAGGTCTAATGCAAAACGTAAGAAGACAGCTATGGCTGTTGAGTGATGACTATCAGGTGTCCACACTGACTCTTTTAATTTTCTGAGCTACTGTGACTTCCAGTTACAGTGAATCCTCTATGGTTGTTAACTGACTAGTGAAGCTGTTCATTAGTGACTCCTTCTCCTGAAGAAATTGTAGATGATGGTGCTGGGTGATTATTTACTGCTATAGGATCTCTCTAGTGTAGAGATTAAATGCTCCAAATTGTCTGTTATCCTTAGAGCAAGCAAACTGAAATAAGAGATTTGGACTGCAGTGTCTTCTGTATTCATCTGAAACCCAGAGTTGCATCATGCAACTTCCTGCACAACTGGTAGGACGGAGTGACTTTGGAAATGGTGGCGGTTAGAAAGCTTAGATTCCACTCTGGCCAGAATTAATGCATGTACTCTGGGAAAAAAATAGCAAAAGGGATACTTAATATCGTAACTGCAGAGATGTAAAAGAAAAGTCCTGCTCTTTATATCCAAATGTATTTTCTGAAGTCCTTGAAGGATTTTCAGGAGCTTCTGAATGTCCTGGTAACAGTGGCTCTTAATCGTGCGCTTTATCATTTGCCTTCGGCAAGAAAGCTCCATTCTTTCCTTTTCAATGTGGGACCTTGCCTTATTGCCTCAGGGAAGCATTACTGTAATGCATGTCACTTGAGGCTAATTCAATCTGCCACTTGGAAATTGCCCCTGGTGCAGATTGTAGCAGTGCACCATTATCTCAAGCTATTTTTCATCAAAGCAGAGTGTGTCTGTTCTGCATGATCTGTATAGCCCGTCAGTTTATTTTAGGTTAGCATGTGAGGTGATGGCTTTTCTTTAAACCTGTAAAACCATGATTGCTTTGGTTTCCCGCGATGTGATGGGAGCCTTTCTTTTTACCAAAGCAGTCCGAGGCATCTCAAGATGTAGGTTTATGGAAGCTTAAACTGACTGATGTTGAAGCCTCTCTGTTGATGTCCCTTCACGTGTACATTTTTGCAGACTCCTTAGCTGTAACTCCAGAATTTTGTGACTGGAAGTTGAATTGTCTGGGAAAAAAAAAAAAAGAAAGAAAGGAAAAAAGAAAAAAATAAATTTCATTCTGTTGAAAGTTTCCTGGACCAGAAAATTATCTGATTCTGGCTCAAGGATGAGGTCAGGCATGTGTGTCAGAGGAAGGAGGCAAGAGAAGGGAAGGATTGTTGCAGCAATTTAAATTAACTGAAATTGGTACGATACTGGAAATAGTAACCCAGTGGTGTCAGCAGCATAAGCTGTAAATAGGGTATGTGACAGCTAAATGAACTTTGGCTTTGAAATTTACTTTCTTCACTGTTTGCTAAAACCTGTGTTTTGGTATGCATGATGAACTCTGAAGATGACACCTCAACCTTTCTATCCTTGGAAAAGGGAACATGTGAAGGCTTGATTAATTTCTTTTATGAGGTTTGGTTGCTGTACACCATTAGAAGCTGAACAGACAGGAGGGGGGGAAAAAGGGAAGAAAACATTTTTGTAAGCAGTAGGGAATTCTCCCCTTTGAAAAACAGCTACAACTTCATTAACATTTCAACCAGCTTTAAATTAAAATTTGTGTCTGCAAGTAATCTATAATGTATTTTGAGTGCCAGTGAGGTACATCAGGGAAGCGCTAGCGCAAGTTTCCTCTAGGTACAGCTTGCAGTGCAGATCTCCTGCCAGTGTTCCTGTGCAGCGAGGCCTCTGTGAGAAGGCCGGTCACCCCAACCCTGGGCCCGCTGCCTGGCCTGCACAGCCAGTGTGGCTGGGGTGAGCAGAACCGAGCAGATGATCGCTGAACGCAAAATAGCACACCTTGGGTGGTATCACAGTGAGGTGATGAAGCCAGCAGCTCCGCTACGCAGGCAGCAACAAATGGCAGGCGGTTCTGCATCTCTAGGTTTCGCACATTTGATGGGAAGTGGGAATGTGCAGCACGCAGCTTGCAATCCTACTTTTTTTTTTTTCTTGCAGCACTTTTGTGTCACTTGCACGTGGATTAGAACTGCAGCCGTTCTCTGCAGTTGGTTCTCCAACTGCAAAGTCTTTGGAGAAAAAGCTTTTGCTGTTGTATCGTGCTTTTGATGGTCTTGTATTGGAGCTTCTGCCAAGAGTTTCTAAAACTTTTTGTCTTTTGCATTTGTGAGATCTTAAAGATCCTTTTCTTCTCTTCTTGTAGGGAACTAGAGGGCTTGACACATCCCTTGCATCTTCCATTTACTCTGACCACAGTCCCTCCCTGTTCTCACAAGTGGAGCTAAGCCCTGCTTCCCTTCCTCTTGATTCCCAGACAGCTACGTGGTAAGTTTTCATTATCCCAGCACTTGTTGCCACAAGGTAAAATTCTGGCAGACTCACTCTAAAATCCATTAGCACTGGGCATTGAGGGCAGACTACTTCAAGCCCATCAGTGATCATTCAGTCCTGTTCCAGGCTGACTGTAGGAAAGGAAGATAGTATTGAATTAGCATTGGAGCTGAACTTCAGCATAGATTGTTATAGGAATAAAATATGAAGTAAAATATGTGACAGAATTAAATCCATCAGTTCTAATAAAGGAAACAGAAGAAAGCAAAGAAATCTTGGACCCTTAAATCCCATTAACCAGGCCAGAGAGAGAATGTGTTAAAAGAGAGCTGTGCTGTATCTTTTTTCATTGTTTGATGAAATAATCTTTTCTTACCCTTTAAGTGGTGTGTTTAAAAATCCTGGTATTTCTGAAACAAAGAGAATACACAGCCACCGAGCTAGCTGGTTTTTATACCTTCCTTTTCTGAGTATTGTCCTTCAGTACAATACAGAGCCATTTCTTTGTTCTCACAAGCTAGCAGTTAAATTGTATGTAAATGTATGCAAATTAGATGCTGTCTAATAAAGAGAGTCATTAGATGGAAGAAATATTTAGTTTAGGGGGGAAAAAAGAAAGAAAAGAAAGCAGGTGTATTTTGCAATAGAAAATGTAAGATTGCAAAAACCCCTCAAACTTTGGGTGAAGGCTTTTTGTAAAACCATTAAAACATTTTCTAAGACTTGCCCTATTCTTGGTCCTTTCTTCTATGCATTTTTATGTGTGTATGTGTGTATACTTTGTATACTTCTGCGGCCTTTTCCATAGAACTCACATGGCTGTGCTGTGTGTATATGTACGTATTTGAAATGATATGTAAATACTGTATTCATAAATAGTGTTTATGGTTACTTTAAACTGTATAGCTATGAATTTACATGCATGTACTTTGTGTTAAGGTGTGTTTTTGATTTCTGAGTCTATACAGGTGGAATTCATGTGGTAAATTTTACTCTCATGGATTGATTTATTCATTTTATGCCTTGGCTGGGTACATTATGCTCTCTAAAACATCTACATCAATTTTATAAGCCCCTCTCTTTTTTTTTTTTCCCTTAACTTTGTTCACTGAACCTCAATGTTGGGTATGTTTCCAGTCTTTTGCTAGAATTTCCTACCAAGTAATTCCTTTTTAAATATGGACCTGATTCGAGCCTAAAGTAGAGTGACTTTTCTGAATGTGACAAAGCTGCATCCTGGAGCACTAAAGTGCTAGGAACATGTCCTCAAAGGCTGGAGATCAGATCCCACGCCTATGGGTGGAGCACTCAGCATCCATCTATGCTCTGAAAGATTTATAATTGATGAACCTTACATTCTTGCCACTTCTAAGGAGAAAATAATTAAGACTTTAATCTCTGTACCTTAGGATCTGTAGTTCTGATCTGTCAGTTCTGTCTGGAGAGAATAGCATACATAGATGACATGGCTCAATTATTATGAAGTCATTATTTTTGTTTGTTTGTTTGTTTCTGATGGTCAGTTGTCATGATTCAGGATGGGGAGCCAATACCTGTACTTCACGCATATTTTTTCAGTTGCATTTTTGCAAGTCTGGAAGCCTTAAGACATATATGTATATGTGTATAAAATGTAAGTATATAAAAATAATGTTGTTTAAATATTTACATATAAAGCCAAGAGATTGGCTTTCTTCCCAGAATTACTGGAACTACCTTCCCCAGGAACATTTGGACTTGAAAAATCTCTACAGAAACACTTTTCTTCAAAAACTAAACAACTTGTGAAATGAGGGACTAGCTCTGCACCCTTAGCTGTTCATATTGGATCTGTTGTTTGGGGTGATGAAATGAGAGAGGGGAGAGACTCCTCTGCATGAGCAATACATTTCCAGTTAATTATGACAAGATGCTCTTTTATTATTCTCTCCGTCCACTTTCTTATTGATTTATTTTATGAGAGAATATTTATGAAAAAAAATGTATCTCAATAGGGATTTTTTTCATTGTTCTAGAACAGGTCCGTGCAGTGGAGTGCATCTGGGCCACATTTAGTCCAGAGGCAGCAGTTCCTGTCCAAGCAGCTGCAGTGCAGATGAACTGATCACTCAGAGCTTTACTGTCTGTTTACCCCTTGTCCAAACTGTATCTGTTGAGCTACCAGCAGAGAGACCACATTGTGAGTCTTCTGCCTGATGTGGAAGTGTAGACAACATCATTGTAAGGATACTGTGGAAGATTGGCAATGAATATTTCACATACGGAAGAAGGGTACCTTCATTCTGTTCAAGTTATTCTTCAATATGCATGGTATTCTTGGATAGGGACTATCCAAGAATCTAGACAGGAGATGTAAGGTGAGGATGGGAGTGCAAGAAGAATCTGAGCTTTAATATGAAGGTGCTAGAGAAAGATAAAGTTAATAAAGTATGTCAAGACACAGGGCATAGTGGTGAGAGAGAGTGGTGAAACAGAAAATGTTAACGATTTGCTCACTTGGGACACTGCTGTTCTAGGTTATCTGGAAGCAACCTAGAGCTGAGTCACTAGTAATGCAGACATTTAACACGTTTTGACACAGTTTGCAGTTTATGCATGTAACTTCAGCTATCTCTCAGAATCTGAAAACCTGTATTCTGAGACACTAACCAGGGATATTCCTGCTGAAGGCAGGACAGGCTAGCTGTCAAAGACAGTACTTTGTCTCCCACAAGTAGATTCCTCAAGAAGAGCTCAAAACACCTAGGCAGACAAGAACATGTTCGTACAGGGGAAGAACAATGCAGGATTAGGTGCAGCAGTATGATTAACTCCATGTTCCTCTCCAGACTTCCTCTGTTTGATGACTATGGATACTTCCTACTTCCTAGGATACATGTCTCTACCTTGCCCATCTTGATAATAAGGGTAATACAGGTTTCTGCATTCAAAATATATTGTGGGGATATATGGTATCCTGAGACATGTTGAAAAGGTGGAGCCAGCACTTTGAGGGAGGTGATCTTTGCCCTCTGCTCTGGTGAGACCACATCTGGAGTTATGCGTCCAGTTCTGGGCTCTCCAGTTCAAAAAGGATAGGGATCTCCTAGAAACAGTCCAGTGGAGGGTAATAAAGATGATTAAGGGCCTGGAGCATCTCCCATGTGAGAAAGGCATGAGACACCTTGGACTCTTCAGACTGGAGAAGGGAAGACAGGAAGGGGATCTTGTTATCTACAATGAGGGAGACAAGTCAATAGGAGTGGACTCTTCAGTGGCAAGCAACAACAGAATAAGGGGCAACAGGCACAAACACAGACACAGGAAGTTCCGTATAAGCATAAGGAAGAACTTTATTGTCAGAGTGGCAGAGCACTGCATAGGCTGCTCAGAGAGATGTTAGAGTCTCCTTCCGTGGAGATATTCAGGACCTGTCTGGACGCCTTCGTGTGCAAGCCATAGGGAATACTGCTTTAGCAGCGGGGCTGGATTCTATAATCTCTAAAGATCCCTTTCAACCCCTGCAATTCTGTGGTCCTCCTATTACATGTCTTCAGCAGTAGCACAGAGAGCTACAAGGAATCTGAAGTTGTGATGTGGAACGACCAGCATTTTCACTGACGATCTGAAAATAAATGATAATTTTTTAACTTGTATTCCTCAAGAGCTTGTGCCTCTTAAAAAAAAAAAAAGTTCTAAGAAATAATGTATGCCACAGTAAACTATTCCTAGAGCTAACGAACAGGCAATGGGACTAGCAGCTTTTGCTATTACCTACTGCTTATTATTGTTATTATTATTATTTCTTTTTAATTATGCAAAGTGCTAATCAGTTTGATTATGCACAGTGCTAATCAGGTTAATTATGCAAAGTGCTAATCAGTTGTTCTCTAAGCACATGAGGAGAGCAGAGGTGCTGGCAGTGAATGGTGGTTCTAGATGGGGGTAGTCACGGCAGTCATTCCTTATTAAAAGAGTAGGTGAGATGACAGGGGTTTTTACTTCCATTAAAAAATAAATAAAGAGAAGATAAAAGCAATGAGAGTGATAGTTCTGGTGGAGTAATGTCTTCTTTCACAGCAAGGCAGACTTTTATTCCAAGCTGGCTCACGCTGTTGGATAATTTCTGCTGGAGTTCGAGTGCACTGATTTGGGCAAATATATTGCAGAGGGGTCTTGTAATGGGTGCGATACAAGTACCCCCACTAGAGAAATTGAGATGCAAAACCAGAAAATCACAAATTAGAGGACTTTTTCAATCTAATGAGCACTCAACTTTTAGGAACTGGTAACTAGAACATCAATAATGTAACATGGATGGCACTTCTTCATGTATATGTAGGGTTGAATGTGTGAGTACTCATGTACTGCATGAACATTCAAATTGTATTTCGGTATAATACCTTTACCAACCATGGGAACATAGGGTGCCTTATCATTGGGAGTGTATGTTAAGCTGCCTTTTCTCTTTCTCCTTAGTGCTAATTTATAAATTAAAATTTTGTGTTCTGGTGAAATTGGATCTCTTCTCAATAAGCTGTGTTCTTCTGACAATTACTGAAGATTCAGTGTGCCCATTTTGCTGTGCTCAGTGTCTAATATCTAGCCACTATTTATTTGATTGTGTTTCACTATTGGTGTGGGATACATAAGCACCACTTTTTACAGTTAGTAATGGAGATGACATTCCCAGAGCAGAGAGCTACTCGCTCATAAAAAGTCGTGGGTAAAGGATCGTAAGAGATGATTTTGAAGTCATTAAAAGAAAAGATTAGCATTCTGTAAGGGCTTCAGTGGTAGAAGGTTATTGCATCAAGTGCAAAAGAAGTTTTCCTTGAAAAAGAAATCATTGTGGATGGTTAGCTAAGGGAAGTCATGGAAAAATTTGAAGTATATTTAAGGTAAGAGGTGAAGCATCAATATAGCTTAAACCAAAGCCTAAAAACTAATAATATTGCCTTCTTGGCATTGTGACTACTACATGAGAGAGAAGACACTCAAAACAAGTTTACTTC